TTTTTTTTTTTTTTTTTTTTTTTAAGAAATGGCATTCTCAATGGATACGACTCATCTGTGATATAAAATTATAACTAAAATCCTAACAGTCTGATCTATTATAACACTGGAAATTGAAGAATGTATATTAATCAATTTCTCTTATTCTTCCAAAACTAAAACTCAATGCACAGGCTAATAACATGTTTATACTAATTAGTCCATTGTTGTTTAAAAGAGCTGTGGATTCCCTAAATACAACAACCTTTCAAAAACCCAGAAACAAATACAGGCTAGACAAGACTAATCTGAAACCCCCAAGTCTGGAATGCTCTAAAATGTGAAGGGCCGACATGATACCACAAGTGAAAACTCCCACCCCAGACTTCATGGTCCCAATACAAGCACAGTAAAAACCATCTAGGAAATTAAAGTTTAGCATGTATAAAACAGAAGTGGGTTTCATGTTTAGACATCGATCCCATCTGCAAGATATCTAATTACAAATATGCCGAAATGTAGAGAAGGGACAGAAGGCCCTGAGATCCAAGACTATTGGCTGCATGGATTTCAGAGAAGTGATAGAACGACCCACCACTCCAGAGCTGAGAACAACAGAAAGATCTGGAGACACAAATTGAATTCACAATTCTAGAGTCTCGGTGATCTTTGCAAATGAACTGTACATCTTTACTACCCTGCAGGTAAAATAACAGCAACACCCTGCAGTCCAGGACTGCCACATTTTCCCTGCGAAGACACCCGAGCTTCAGCACACACACTAGGCATTCTCATGTTACCACTTCAAACCGTAGCCTTGGCCCTACTACCTGAAGAGCTCTTGCTTGCTGATCGTTTCACCCTGTGCCATCTTCCCACTCAGACGGCTTACTCAAAACATCAGGGTCTGCACCTACCAACCCAGCACGAGATACAGCCACTACCAAGAGCCGGAGCTCGACAAATTTCTACTGTGTGAGCAGCTAAACGTGTGAACATAATTACCCAGTTAAAGTGCTTTCATGACAAAACACACTAAAAGCATAAAATGCGGTTCATGTTTAGCCGAGTCCCATCCCCATGCCTCAGGCCCATCTCCTCCCAAGTCATCTGGAATGGGAGATGGATGATTCACCCACACCCCCTTCACCTATCTAATCAGGCACCTCCCAGGGGCAGCTTGGCTGCTACTCCAAGGCAGGAACCAAATGAGGTTAGATAAGGAACCAGCAGGCCTCAGGCTACCGTATAAGCTTTCCCACAGGCCTGGAGCTAGTCTACCTTCCTGGTTTCCCCACTTCTTCTTTGGCATCCAGGGCCTCTTGCTGAGATATCTATCTACCTTCTGGGGCCTGTTTTAAAAAATGTATCTTGACCTTGAAACTGGCTGTGATTCTTCCAGTGTTCTTACTAACAGCATTCACTCCTGGCTAAAGACAAGAAGGGTTTTTCTTCTTCCATCAGGTGACTTTTAAATGGTATCTGGAGCCACTGGCCTGTAAGTCACCTAGCAGAGGGTATCTGTGATGCCTGAAGCCCACTTCTCATTATATGACACACATCCTAATCCTGTGCGTTTCATTGGCTTTGTTTTGTTGTTCTTGTTGTTGGCAATTGGTTTTGTTTTATCAAAGACCAAACTCTTATTTAACTCTCTGGCAGGTACTGAGCAATCCAGGACATCAATTCCGAAAGGAGACTCAAGTAACATAATCAGCCTTGATGTGAGAGTCAATTAGGAACTTCGGCAACACAGCTCAGAGAACGTGTCTGTCAGCAGATTCGTGACTTAAAAGTTACTTCTGTTTTAGACATGGTACCAAGGGACTCATCCAAAGTCATGCTATCTCAAATTTAGCAAGAGAAAAGTGCTCTCCCAATTATAAATCTTTTATTTCTAGCCTAGCTCCAATCTGTTACCATTACTACATAAAGAAAGGAAAACCCAACAAGCATAGGAGACAAAGCAAAGATTAACATCCACCAAGTGTTGGAAGTGAACTTCTCAGCAGAATAAAAACCGAGGGCCAGGAATATGTTACCAGACTGGAGTGAGAGGGGTTTTCACTTGCAATACAAAATATTACAGACCTTGAGGGCAACAGTAATTATCATGTGTATGTTTATGTGTGGGCATACTCATGCTCCCTTTATCTGTGTGTTTTTTATTAGTGAGACTTTCGGGGATAAAGCTAGTTTCCTCAGTTCACATCACAAATAGCTCAAGATATTCCTTATCAACAATTAGTTACTATTTAATAATTTTGATAATGCTGCTTCTCATGGGACAGCCCTCAATCCTCTTGTGCCAAGTCTCTCTCCTTGAACCGTCTGATGATAAGTGTCCCTGGGCCCCTGGTGTAAAAAAAAATGGTTTATCAATGCATTTCCATCTGCCAAGCATTCCCTTAAAATGCCTAGCTGTGCAAAACTCTAACTCAGGGAGCTGGTGGGAATGCCTAGGGGTTAGAGAAAAGGGAAAGCCTTCCCTTCAGGAATGTTTAGATGTCTGGGAAAATAAATGTATGACATCCATGGACCAACCTATCAGCCAGTGCAGATGTTTAAATGTGTCTAAAAGTGTCCTCATTGCCAATTAATCCATAGACAGTGTCACGAACTGTTACAAAGGACATAGGTGCTACAGCTAGTCTCATGTAGAAAGTTGCTCAATAAAATGCCAATCTGTTTCTTTTTTATTTAATAGAATTCTGGAAACACAGAACCTAGAGACCCACAGAGAAATGCAACCTTTAAGGAAACCATCACTGGTGAAATAGCCCCACACAAACCATACCTAGGCCATGATTTACAGAAACAGTCTGGGGGGGGCTCTTGTTCCTAGAGACTTCTGTTTCTTTTGGTAATAAGTTGACCCATGATCTCTTTGTTTCATAATTTTCTTCCTACTTCTTCATATCCAACTTTTGGTGACCTCAATTGGAAATCCAATGGGGACATCTAGCTGATTCCTGTAATCTCTGTCTGGGCTGGATGGGAGACTGCATGGGAGCAAGTATCCTATAAAGCCAGCACACACTACCTACCTGCATCATTGCCCTCCTGGTACCCACTTCTTAGCAGTAAGAGAGCATGTGAAAACATTCACAACCATGTACCACACGGCAGAGAGCTGATCAAATTTTTCAAATTTAGTAGCTTAAGAAGTGTTTAAATATCAATATTGATAAATTGGCTTAATATTCAACTCTTTCATTTTAAAGATTTGAGAGGGAGTTGTAAAACAAAAAAACAAAACAAAACAAAACAAAAAGCCTATGAGCTTAGATTTCAACCACAATCGTCTCAGGTTAAAATGAAACATCAAGAACTTCAAAGAGACTCACACTGTATATGAGGGAATGAGTTTTAAAAATCCCAGGCCATTACTTCCTTATTCAAGGAAAACAAACACTAATTTGCATGCATCTCTAAGCTTATATTGCTAATTTTGTATCTCTTCTGTTAGCTTCTGCCAAAGAAAATTTCCTAGAGTTATAATTTTCATTTAAACATATTCAAACTTGTCAGAAGACATTTAAGATGAACAACAATGAAACAGACTCCAGAAAAATAAAATGCCATAATTACCTTCTGCCAGGCCCACAGTCGTCGCCTTCAGGCATTTCTGCCCTTTAAGAATAACTATAGCCGCACCTGCTTGCCACAGCTAGGATAGCCAGAGAAAGCTGGTTTTCCCACAAGGCAGACTCTCACAGAACTGGGCAGGGGATCCTTCCCTTTTCGGAGAAAGTGCTCCTACTCTAATCAGAAAGCTGGTGTTTACAAACTTGCAAAGTGCCAGTCTCCTGCCTTGAATGAAGCAAAGCATTGGACTATTATGACAGCCCCCTGCTAAAAATAAAGAGGTCACCTCTCACTTGGCACCCTGACAGGCAGTTGGACGGGAGTGCTGCCCAGGGGCCCAGCATTTTCCCTGAAGTCGTGTGAAAAGGTGTCACCAGGGATGACTTCACCAAGCTGCCCTGCCTGCCCTCTTAACTTTTTTTTTTTTTTTTTTTTTCCTGGCTCGATCTAAGCACCTACCAAAGGTGGAGTGGCCACAGGCAGGTTGAAACCTCACTCCAGCTATCAGGTCTCCTCCTTTGAGTCACAGGGGGGAGTTGGAGAGGAGAGAGGGAGGGGAAGAGGAAGGGAGAGAGAGAAAGAGAGAAAGAGAGCACTGTCCCAGCAATAGAGGGGGAGGTTTGTTTGCATAACACCTGGCACTCAGCATAAAGTCTCTTGGTCAAAAGGAGTGTGTGCAAGCTACACACACACACACACACACACAGTGTCATGGGACACTGCTTTGCAAGGAAACCTCTCTCTGGACCATCTAGGTTTCCCAGCTCACAGTATGCTTGCATATGAAGGTGAGCCTGTGTGTCTCTTGTGATCTAAAGCTTCCCTCCCTGCCTCCCCAAGGCATCGGTATCACTGTGGCTAAGGAGCACTAGGAGCAAGCATAGGCTCATGGGCTGCTTGTGGCTCTGGGGGACTTTATACTTCAGCTCCTTGCCATGTGTGCCTGTCTCAATCGCTGCACCCTTCACAGTGCCTTGTTTCCAAAATGCCAGACAACTCATTTAATACTACCCAATAAAAACTTTCACTTAAAAGCCGAACCCATTTTCTCATCTTATTTTCCAACTAAGAACATACAGGAAGACTCAAAGCAAGATCTAATAATTTAAAAATGATAATTTTTCTTTTAAAAGTATGTATGCTCTACTTGCTGTTATTTGCCTTTTATGGAGTATTTTACATGGTATCTTTGCTAAAAAAATGGTTTTCCAAATCATGGAGGAATTGAGAAGTCAGAGAATTTAAAATAATTATCTGCCTTCTTTTGGAAATTGTTGGCCACTTTGTGATGTATAAGTGCCATACTTTAAAATAGATATACTGAAATGATATAGTATTGCATACAAAGCGTTGTGCTTAGAGACTTCAAGCCTAAGGTTTGTAGTACATACACCAAAGGTGGGTCTAGGTACTCAAGTGTTTAATTCATATTTTCAAATATCACATACTTTATGAATCTGCATATTATCTTTGCCCAGGGTCATGCTAATCCTCTCCATATTATTCCAACTTTAACATATGTCCTGTCAAAGTGATTACTCTCAAATAGGCAACCTGAAAGCAAACTGACATTCAGAGGTTGGTAGAGCAAAGCAGAATAGCATCCTAGGGCCAAAGCAACATGCTACATCACTAGACATCCAATCTTTTTAAGAACTGAGAAGCTAAAATGCAGAGAACAGTATACATCATGTCAGCCCTTGCCCTGAATTGAGACAGCACGGAGGGCTAATTCTACTGTCTCACACTCACTTCTGACCAGTCCAGTACCTTCATTTTACTCCGTTGTCTCTCTCCAAGCTCCCATCTATTTCTTAAATAGGTAAATGGACCTTCTCTTCTGAAGATGATGCACCCCTGAAACATCTCTCAGTTCTAGAAGAATTCACTGATGTGTTAAACAGACAGATCGCCAGCGACTCCCATGAACTAGTGAGGAACACTGCTCCGGAGTATTCAGCCCTTGGCAAATTTCCAAATTACTTGCTCCAGCTGGAATGATTCCCCAGGAGGTATTCTGGTGACATTTTGCAAAATTCACAAGGATAAAGACAGAAAACAAGGACCGCACAAGCAACAAATCCCAGAGCGTAGGTTCATGGCCAATGACTGTTCCTACTATATGCCACTTATCCTGAATGCCACCTTCTGTCCTGGAAACTAGGTACTATGGGTCCCCTCACTGTTGTTGACCTGAAAATCTAGTGGACAATCAGAACTTAAAAGGACCCAAGGAAGCACTCACTAAGGTGTTCAGATGTTATCACAGCCTCAGAATTTTTGATGGCCTACTAGTGACAGTCAGGACCTTCCAAGTTGGAGTGCCATTTTCTTGCCTCTAGCCAAAGATGCAGAAGATCCCTCACATCAGGCAAAAGCTCATGCCCCAGACTTTTTGAGGTTTTAGATTTTCCTCTGTTCACACTCTCCTCAAGTGTATGTATATTTATTTTCAGTAATGTGCTTTACTTTTCCTTGCCATTCCATTCGGCCTTAAATCCATCAGCCTTTCAAAGATAACTGTCTCCTTTCCATGGTATCTACAGCCTCCACTCCATAAAATCTCCAGTATAAAAGTTTTACATTGTTGCTATCTCATCATCACAGCTTTGGGAGAAGCTCTGGCTCTACCAGGGGCAACACGACAGACACCACTCCCTTCTCTCAGAGGTTAAAAAGCAGTCTGAGCAATGAGGCACAAAACGTCCATCGCTGTGAGATGGCTGTCCTCGGAGTCCCTTCCAACTTTAGCAGGTAGCAGAAACCTGGGTGAGTCACATGCATCACCTTCCAAGATAAAAACTAGATTTCTGGGCCTCTCCGAGCAAAGTGAAGTTTTGTGCATAAGTTCTGACTTATGCAGCTCCAGGGACTTGTATTAAGTGACACCTGGTACATCCCTGGTATAGTCCTTCTGCCTCTTGCTAGAGAGAATTCAGACTTGATAGCTGGATTTCCAGAGGCCACTTTTGGCAAAACACGACTTGTGCAAAGGAGGAAAAACATGGCAGAGTCCTTCCTCATGATAAAGCAGCTGCCTGTGCTAGGGGACATGAGCAGCCAACAGCTGGATAACATTTTACTTTTTTTGGAAATTTCAGATAAGACAGAATAAAAAAGATTAATGCCACTGTTTTTTTGTTTGTTTGCTTTTAATATTAGAGTACAAGAGTAGTCTCCTCTTACCCATGGTTTTGTAGGTTTTCAAGTTACCCATAACCAACCATAGTCTAAAACTCCCATGGGAAGTTCTAAGAATCAACAAGTCATCAATTTTAATTATAACTCATCCTGTGATGTCCTACTTTTCTGTCCTGGCTCTCTTTTTACCCCAGCAAGGGGAACATTCTTTTCCAGTACCAACAGTGTATATGTTGCCTGTCCATTAGTCACTTAATAATCATCTGGAGTTATCAGATGGACCATCAAGGTAACTGTAGGCTTATATCCAGGTGACCATTATTAAACTTCCATTTTGGCCCCAACACTAAGGTGAAAGTTCTTGGCTTAATAAAAATCTGAGAACTGTGCTAAGTTTGCTATGATCTGTAGGGCATTATAAATCTGTGCTGTGCCTACTTCATAAATGAAGCTTTATCATGGGTATGCATAGCTGCTTTTCAAGAGGAATGCATATAGGGCTCAGTCTTATGCGTGGACTCAGACATCCATTGTGGTGACATCCTCTCAAACCTGTGGATGAGGAGGGACTACTGTCCTCAATCCAAACTTAACCCTAACTAAACTATTTCCCTAGAAGTATAAGTAATGGTCATCAAAACAAAACAAAAAACAAAAAACAAAACAAAACAAACAAACAAAAAACGCCATTAAAACTAAGACCAAAAGTAAAGCAGAGATCCATCAGGCCACACTGTGGGAGTAAAGGACATGCCCTCCTTTCCAGTCCTCACACAGGTCTGCCAGGCTGTAAACATGTATGAAACATTTGAAAAGCATCATTGAAAAGGAACATTATGGGACAAGATGAGACAAGCTCACTAGTTTAGGTGTCTCTTCCTCTTTTTATAGAGCCACTAATGCTATCACAGGGACCCCACCCTAATTAATTTATTAACTCTTAAGTACTTCCCAGGGGCCTCTCCTGCAAATACCATCAGGATATGAATTTGCATACTGAGTTTTCCCTAAACATGGATCTCTTTCTTGGGAGCACATTTAAAACTCAGCATTTACCCTCTGAGCAATTTTCTGTCCATCAACCCTCAGCGCACATGAACCATCTACCTTCTTGTCTACACGTTCCCACTCTCACTGCAAAGTTAAACCCTTTTGTTGCAAAAACCGTTACACATTAGTCTCCTGAATCGTCTGCCTGCTCACTCTTTGACATGACAGGGTACGTTTTTCTCCAGCAAAAGCTGTCCCTGAGAACAACAGAGTAGATATGACCTAGTAGCTAAGAGCACAGACTTTGGTCCTGGATTCACTGCTTTCCCTTTGAGTGAATCTGGCAGGTTCCCCACAAATTCCTGCATGTGGGCTCCTGCTGTGGCTGAAATGCTGTCACGTGGCAAACACTTTGTGCTGAGAAAGTGGCAAATGCGTTGCTGCTGGTTTTTTTTTTTTTTTTTTTAATTAGCATTCACATTGAGGGTTCAGGGCTGGTTGGTTATCCCAGACAAACATTTAGTCAGTTATTCTAGAAGGAGCCTCTATACTCTTAGAATCCAGAGGAACATTAACCTAAATCCCTGATAATATCACAAGTTTCAAATTTAGGTACTATAACGTGCTCCAAGGGGAACAAGCCTGGTTATCCTCATTGCCACATCCCAGGTTGGGATGACAAACAGCTGCTGAAGGTTGGAGACATCCACCACTCTCTCAGAAGCTGCTCTCAATCTCCTTGTGCTCTCTATGCCGGCCCAAGTCTACACAGCACTGAAACCAAACAAGAAAGGCTAGCTTAAGGAGATACTTTCTGAATGACGTCTGAATGGGGACAGGCAGGCCACAAAGACGCCAAGGTCCTTCCACTTCCACTTAATGTCCTGGAATGTTTGTAGCTGAGTTAGGGGAGGTCCATTCTATTCCAGAGGTCCTATCTGTTTCTCCTCACAGTCCCCTCAGTGGTCTGCAACCAAGTGAGATAGTACAGAGGTGTGGCTTGGCTCCGAAGCTGGCCTCAGGCACCTGGATCTCCAGGGGATTTTCAGGGATTTTCTTATAAGTAGAAATCTGAACAGGTGTAGCTAAAGGATACTCTAAAATCCACAAATCCTTAGTGCCAAGACTCCAAGCCCTGGGACTCAGAAGATCTGGAAGCCCAACTGGGATGTGAGCCTTTCTGCCTCAATTTACCAGCCAGATGCCTTTTGGATTCGTTCTGTAGCTTCCTCACTGGTCAGAGCCAGAGTTCTTCGGGTTCCTTTGGAGCTTTAATACTTTAACATTTTATCCCCTCTAGCTCCTCATCTCAGATCTGCTCTCCCTTGCAGAGCAGACTGGATCCCTCAGTCACAGCCTCCTAAGGTGGGCACAGTCTCTGAGAATCCCCTTTACTGGAGGTAAGACCTTGTGATTCGTATCTCTATCTGTGTTTTCCCCAAACCACACACAAACAAAAAATATGTAGTGACTCTACAGTCCATCATTTGCCTCCTTCCCTTTCCCATCCTCACCCCTCCCATATGCCCTCTGCCTGCATGTTCTCAAATTTATGGCCTTTTTCTTCTATTGTTGCTGCATGAGTGTGTGAGTGTGTGCACAGGCACACACACATACACACACACACACATCCATGTGTTCCTAAATATATAGATACAATCTCCTCAGTCCATATAATATTACACATGCTCATACATATACATACATCCACATATACATACATACATAACTTCAGGTATGACTACTTGATATTGGATAACCAAATAGTGTGTTCTTCCTTGGAGAAGACTATTTTTCCTACTCTTAGCATTCCTTAGTTACCTATAACCAAGATCTAGGGTTGAGTCCATGATACTCCCTAAGCTTTAGCTAGCTGTAGGAACTGTGATGTAGATGTATCAGTTAGGGCTAGGAATCACAGTTTCTTATGTTAGCATCAAGTACCACAAAAAGCCCCAAACAGCACCATTCAGAGCTGTCCACTGGCCACCCATGACCCTTGAACACTTGAGCTGTAGGTAATCTAAACTGAAATGTGCTGTAAATATACACACTGGTTTGTTTTTAAGACTCAATGGAAAATAAAATGTCAAACATCTCATTAGTAACAGTTATATGGAGGACACACTCAAAGGGTTACTCTGAATATACTGATTAATACCAGTTATAAAGAGCTGTTCCACCTTTTTCTGTTTTTTTAACCTTCTAAAAATAAGCCTACTATAGATGATGTTATTGGGTTCTATTAAAGCTGACCAAGGGCTTTAATTAGTTGCCAAAATTGGTTCAAATAAGACATAAAACAAAAGTTACAGTGAGGGGTTGGAAATGTGGCTCAGCATTTAAAAGCACATGCTGCTCTTGCAGAGGACCTAGGTTCAGTTCGCAGCACCCACCTGGCAGCTCAC